CAGAGCAGGCAGCAGCAGCAGCAGCGGGGTGCAAGGAGGAGAGCTCCTATCCCGGTGGCGGAGACAGCACTGGATTGGAGCGGTACAAGAGAAATTGCAGAGGTCGGCGGGCCGAAGCCCATCTCCCTCGCCCCCTCTCATCTCTCACCCGGCGGGGGAGATATTTCAACCAGTCTCTCCTTCCCCGCGCCCAGCCCCTCTCCATCCACTCCAATCAGAGACGTGCGGCCTGTCGCCGGCCAGCGCCGAAAGTAAGTCGAATGCTCGCGCCAACTGCAGGGTCGAACACGCTCCGGCCTCGGCCGATAAGAGAGCGGTCCGGCCGTACCCCTCCTTTTGCGGAACATAAAAGTCAATTCAAAAAATGACGTTGCGGTTCAAGTGTTACTGTCAGGGTGGGAAGAAATAAGTTAGGAGGGGCAAACCCTGTCGGAAAATCCACTTGGTCACGCTCCCCCCGTAGTGTATCTACCCAATGGCCATTTGAAGCAGACTTAGGACTAGCAAAATACGCAAGACGATATCGAGGCGAACATAACTTTTGAATCCACGGCATCCTTACAAACTAGTTTTCCCCAGTAATGAACATAATTCTGTAATAAATATTTAAAAAAAAAAAAAAAAAAAAAAAAGTAAAGCAGGGTCTTGGACGTAAGGTCATCATTCACATGTGACATTTATAAGTTTGGTTTCAAACGCATACTACATGCGTAGTTGTTGATTTTCAAAGTGCAGAAGTACGTTAAATCTCCGTATGTTTGGCAGTGCGCCGCCCCACCCCCCTCTCCCGCCCCCCGGGCGAGCGGCGTCTGCATCTGCTGCTGCGCGGCAGCCGGTCTGGGCGCTCTCGGGTGGCAAAGAGGTGCCGCTGGTGACGGCGCGCGACAGCTCGAGCCGGAAATTAAAAGTGCTCGAGATAACACCGGGCTGCACACGACGACGACGCAGCTCCCCCGGCGCAGCCAGGCGCGTGAAACAACTCGGGGCCGACTCGAACCACTTCAAGGGGGGTCAAAAGACTGTATGGAATGGAGAGCCCATGATATTTGAGCCACGAGCACTGTGAAAAATATCCTCTTAAATTTATGACGTTTGTTGTAATTCTGATTTACAAAATATGGGGTAAATTTACGACGGCCCATTCTTGCTCGTCGGTCAATGCCCAGTCAATAGAGAGTGCTTGTAAATTTACTATTTCAAATTGTAATTTTACGACTTTTATCATAGAAAATTTTTCCGTAACCATTACGAGGGTATTATTCGCAGAGAAGGTACAAAAATCATGGGTTAGGGTTATGCCTATGGACTCCAGTGACTGTCCTGATAGTTTTCACGGTAAAACCGCGCTCTGGGATTCCCAGGAGAATTGGTTCTCCATGGGTTCCTGGTATTCCGAGAAGACCTACTGGGAATCAATCCAAATGGTTTTGCACAGCCCCTCACCGCGCAGTGTGGCAGAGAACACACGCGACTGACGCAGAGGCAGAGGCAGACCAGACACATATCAAACGTGTCGGCCGCAGGGCTTTATTCGCCGCCACAGAGGCCACCGCGCAGCAGATGCAGCATATAGCGACCTGACCTCTCCACGCGGTGCCGATCTGGGAAATGCCTTTCACGACATGCCGCAGCGCAGACGGCGCAAAATAGATTGGAACTGGCAGATGCAGGTCCCCGAGCAATCCGACAAGTGCCTCCGCCTTCCCTCGCCTCCGGACCCACACCTCGCCGCCACCCGCTCTACCGCCCGCTGTCGTGCTGGCTCCCCGGAGCGGTGAGACCAGCACCGCGCAGCCACCCCTCCACCTCCTCGCCGAGTTCGTCAAAACGCGCCGCCTAGTTTGAAATTAATTCGCGCTTATATTCAACATTGCATTAAGTAGAAGGTCAGCAGGCGGACTCCCCTGCGCCGCCACCTACACCCTTCCGCAGGACCGGGCCCGCCGGCCGCACCCCCCGCGCCCCAGTCGCACCCCGCCATGCCCCGCCATCGCCCGAGCTCGGCGACGCGACGGAAAGAAAATCAAGTTAGGATTTTCAGGCTCCAGCGAGGCGGGCGGAGGGGGAGGGTGTTGGTGGTGGAGAGGGGCGGGCGGGGCTTCTTGAAAATTACGTCATTTGCCCGGGACACATTTAATAAGGCACTCGACGTCGGAGATGACGCTCGCGTGCGGGGGTAGTAGTGTTCCGCCACGCCACTCCCCAGTCAGGTGCGGCGATATACTTGACAATGTTGTTGAGCTCCGTGCGGCTTGCGCACACTGCACCGCCCCCCTCAGCCCCACCATCAGCTCCGCTCCTCGTGACCCCCACCCGACCTGACCCCACCAAGTATAGGGCAAGCGTCCATGGAGCGAGGCTGATAGCGGGAGGAGCTTTGTTCCCCGTCTTGCGATCAAGTTACCCCTCTCTCTCTCTAAACTATAAGCCCTCAGAGGGCCTGGTGGTGGTGCACAAGCAGCTTTGCTCCGCCACGCTGCGCCACGACGCCCCGGGCCGGCGCCCCCGCCCGCCGCACCTTGGCGCCTACTGGAGTAAAACAGCGGTCGGTGCACCCCCGCGCCGCGGGTACTCTACTAGAATGAGATGGCGCGGGAAAATGTAAACACTGTGGTGAAAAGTCTGTCTCGCCCGTCGTGTAAAACAACTACAAGAAAAAGCACTTGCTAGCACGGTGAAAAATGTATTTGAAAATTTACAACAAATTTTGTACTTACGATTTGCACAATTTTTGTTGTAAATTTACGACAGATTATTTCTGTCCATGAATTTCCAAATTGGTACAAAGTGCTTTAAATTTTACAATTTAAATATATGATTTTGCAACACGCATCATTGAAAATGTTGGTGTAGCCCTTACAACAATCAGCGAGTATATCAATAACTGTCCAATAAAAAAGGGCGCAAGACGCGTCCGTTTTTATTTGTAAACAATGACAATTGCGAAAAGCCTTATTTTGCAAGTGTTGCAGGCGAGGCTGCCCCACGCTCCGCCACACATCGTGTGCTGTCGTGACGACGGTGAGCTCTCGGCACGCCGGGCACGTCCCTGTCATTCCTCAAGCCTACATGCGAATTTACTCTCTCTCGCCACCTGAGCTGCTGCTGCTGATGTTGCGGCGGCCCCCCCACCGCGAGGTCCCCCTCACCTTCCATCGGGGGGCCCCCCTGAATGTCACGGCAGTGAGCGACCGACACACGCCACTGCACAATGCGCGCATCGATTTGCACTCTGTCGAGGATTTTTTTGCAGAAACAAATATTTGTTTGAGAATGGAGGATGGGCGGATTCGTTACGGCCAAGGTGGAGGCATTGACTCGCGGCGCGGCCCAGAGGAGCCCGGAGTGCGTCTTGAATCCAACGGGCCTCCTCGTCCTCCCCCTCCTTCTGCTCTCTCCTCCTCCTCTTCCTACTCAATCTACTTTGGGAAATTGTTATTCTTAATGTGTCATCGAAGGACTCATTTTTTTTTTGCCCTAATTCATTTTTGGTAGTTAATTTGGGCATTCGTTCCCAAATGCTGCTATTTCAACTATTTTTACCTTACAACCTTACACCTAAACTAAACATAACTAACTATACATGACTAATGTTTATAACTTACAGGTAACTGTTCAAATTGCGACTCTTTGCACGAAAATTTCGTCCGTTTTGCTCTATTAAAAAGCCGTTTAGGCCCCTACCGCCACGTTTAGGAGGGGCAATGCACGGGAATCACTGGTACTTATTGCGCAAAAAAGCTCAAAAAAGTTCCGTTCAGGAACGGATCGTGAAAGCAGATGATACGAATTCAAGAATTATTCCAGTCTATAAATATTTCAGTGGAAGATCACGTTACGCATTACTAGAATAGTATGTAGATAATTTACAAATCTTAATTCACATTTCATTAGGTATTCATGCATTAAAAGATTTGGGTTGTTTTCTGTGTCTCCTATTCTTAGTAATGTTTTGAAGGGAAGACTAAGTTAGTGTGAAGAGGGACGTAGAGACAGTTTGCGAGTGATACTTTTCAATAGAGACATATGGTTTAAAAATAATGTTTCTGAATTCATTTCGTTCTGTCTCTTCATAGTCACGTTAGAGTTTGAATTACCGCGCCGCGCGCGTTCCTCAGCCGAGACGGTCCGAGCCGAGCTGCGCTTCGAGCCGAGCGACGAGCCGAGTCTGCCGGAGGGAGGGGCGTAGAAGGGAGGGGGGAGGGGGCGTCTGCCTGTGGCACGGCGGGAACGGTCCGCATCGCGCGCCCCTACACTACTGGATGACGTCATATGCCTGGTGCCTCTCAGCGCTCCGCATGAGAGTACAAGCAATGATACATGGTTAAGTAAAGTATTATTATTTTCAGTTGTGTATAATGTATCATCTGCTAAAAATGCTAAAGAACAAAAGTTGAATGGAGAATGGAGAACTGGAGAGCCAGAGTCGGGTGTGCCTCGCAAGGAAAGGCCCTACACTTTTTATGGGAGATACGAGATACGCTTATTCTAGACACGTCAATCTCTGCGTCACGCAAAGCGCGGGCCGAGCACGGAGCAAGTGCCTCTTGTGTGTGCCGTGTTCGAATTTAACACGTCGAGCACGACCACAACGCGGTCATCCGCATGTCCGTGGATCCTCGACAGGGGCACTGGGAGCCGCAGTGTCGCAAACTTGATAAAAACGTAGTCAAACTTTCCCGCGTCAAGCATGTAAGTCAGAGTGTTATGATGAACGCACACTTTTTGTAATACGCCAATAGGTGTTTGCGTCTGCTTCAGTGTATGCAGAGTGAGTCAGTGACTAAGTGAGCGAGTGAGTGAGTGAGTGAGAGTGAGTCAGTGAGAGTGAGTCAGTGAGAGTGAGTGAGTGAGAGTGAGTGAGTGAGAGTGAGTGAGTGAGTGAGAGTGAGTGAGTGAGTGAGTGAGTGAGAGTGAGTGAGTGAGAGTGACACGAAATTTGCGCCGTTCTGCTCGTAATTCAAGCCAATGATAGGGATGGAAAAGAAAATCGAAAAGTCTACAGTGGAGTCAAGTACATTTTAATTTCACAAACAAGACGCGGGCGCGTCCATTGTTGCAATGCGAATTAAGTCTGCTCCTCCAGCGATGACGGCGCAGATGGGGAACTTAATGATAAACGGAAGGGATGGGTCATTCTCTGCCTCTTGTACGCACATATACATCAAATATTTCACATCCTCAAGGAATTTGAAAAATATCTCAGCGATGCACGTGAGAGCTGGTGGGACAAAGAATAAAAAAGGTTACTTTAGCGTTTTAAGTTTGACTGAGTTTGGCACTAAAACGAAAAAGTCGACATGAATCACATACATAGACTGGTAACCTTAGTTTCCGTCAGGGCAGCTGAGAGGTTTGGCCTCGGGCTTGCCTAGAAAAGAGAACACTCTCTTGAATAAAATGTCGGTTTGGCAGATTTCCGTATAAAAAACTGACTTCTCTATCATTTTGCTTTCAAATTTTCGTAAATCTCACCCACGGTTTCACAATCCGATTGTGAGTTCAAAGAACTTTACAACATAGTCGTTGCTCACTTCAATGCAGTTCTTTGGACCATTTTACACGATTAAATCAATCTTAGAAAATGTTTGCAGCTACAGTGTTGCGAACAAAGGTGGTACTAGTCCTCTTTTACCTGAGCGAACTGGAGCGCTGCGAGGAGCATGCACGCCAGCAGGGCAGTCCTCATGATGGTCTTCATGGTGGAACAGATGATGAGTGTATGATTCTGATTGAAAAGACTCTGTGGTTTTATAGGAACACTCGTCGGAAGAGGTCGGTCCACTATCGCTTATCGCTAAGGGGGCGTGGGTAGCCTGTGCACCTTTATCAAACTTAGTCACTCGAGCTCACACGACACCTTCAAGTAAATCGAGTGGTATTCTTAGAACCGGTCAGTGTCGGCCTTCCGTGAATACCTATCAGCACGGGTTTTTCGAAAAGACGCCGGAAAGACGTCGATTCGCCAATCGTCGTCAATCTGTCGTCCGCAATTGTACTCTGTACGTATTTTGACGGACAGTAGTCAATCTGTCATCATAAATACGTAGTTCGTACAAAATTGAGCCGACTGTTGAAAATACGGAAACATACAAAATACGTATACATATACGTACACTGAAAAAAATGTTTGGATTTTTTCCAATTTTTTAATAGAGCAGTCGTATAGGGAAAATCCTACACACTGTATATGTGATTTGCTTCATACACATTTATGGGATTTTTCCGACACATATTTTTTACACAAGTTATTGTACAATAACGTGTTCCCGAGACTGGTCAAAAAAAGTGTTAAGGTTTACAGAAATGTAAGGAATAGAGCAAGGTGGGAGGGGGAGTGGGGCTTTTATTTTCCGGTGGAGACAGTCTTAGAGACTGCAGTCTAAAATCAGCAGGAAGTAAAGAAGTTCACGAGGAGGAAAACTCATTGTAGGCCTAAGGGCTGGTTGTGTAGAACGCGAGGAAACGAAAGAAAATGAGAGAGCGGCAGTATCATTGGTCAGGCGATTAGCTTTTGTTAGGAAAAAGACGCGAGCGGGGCGAAGGAGCCAAGAAGAGCAAAGCGATCAATTTGGTCGGGGAGCGGAAG